GAGAGAGAGAGAGAGAGAGAGAGAGAGAGAGAGAGAGAGAGAGAGAGAGAGAGAGAGAGAGAGAAAGAGAAGGAGAGAGAGAGAGAGAGAAGGAGAATTAGTAAGTGAGCGAGTGCGAGAGAAACTGAGAGAGTTGTTCCTCCATGACACCAGACAAGAGAACCCGCCGGTTATAAGGAGTTTATAAAAGGTCCAAATAAAACCGCTATTGAAGGCGTGGACAAAGCCACTAGCGGGAAATTTCTGGATAGCGGCAGAAGCCAAGAGCGAGGCCATTCAAGGGAATTTCCAAGAAATCCCACCAAGGAAGACCCCTTTTCGGAAGGAAGCTACGCTAAAATAGGAATACCAGTAATAATAATAATAATAATAATAATAATAATAATAATAATAATAATAATAACAATAATAATAATAATAACAATAACAATAACAACAATGATAATGATAATGATAACGATGGTGGTGATGATGATGATGATGATGATAACAACAATAACAACAACAATAACGATAACTAATGATGCCGGTGATGGTGATGACTGATCATCATCATCAGTCATCGTAATCATAATCATAATACCAATCATATTACTGCAATAATAATATATAGAGCCAGATTCCCAATACTAAAATAATAACGGTGACAATAGCAACAGCAAAACAAAAACAAAAACAAAAAAAGACCTATAAAAACGACAACGACGGTAACAATAACACAACAGACGGTCGTAATCCTCGTCCTTTCCCCGCCCACGCGCACAAATAATAAAACTTAAAAAAGAAGAAGAAGAAAACATACGGTAAAAAGAGAGAGAGAAAAAAAAACAGCAAAGAAAAAAGTCGGTTACGAAAAAAAGAGAGAGAAAAAAAGTCAGATACTCCCTAAAAATGCAAGAAAAAAGTCAGTTAAGAAAAAAAAGAGACAATAACTGCGCTTTCCTCCTCTCCCTCCCCCTCCCCCTTCTCCCTCACCTACGACACCAGAAAAATTCTTCATCTCTCTTCTCTTCTCACTTTAGCAAATCTCCCATTTTCCTCCTTTCTCTTTCCTTCTCCCTCGGTCTTCCTTCTTCCCCTCACATCCCCTGCTTTCTTGTTCTCTTTCTCTACCTTCTTTCTTTCCTTTCCACCTTTATCCTTCATTCTCCTCGGCCCTCCACTCAATCTATCACATTCTCTCTCCTTCTCCATCGTCCCATACACCCACGTCCTATCCCTCTCCTCTCCTCTCCTCTCCTCTTCTTTCTGTTCTTCTCCATCCTTCCCTTTCTCTCAATCCTTCTTCTCTCTCTCCTCTCACTCATCCCATCTGTTCCCTTCTTCCTCTTCCTCTTCCTCTTCTTCTCTTAACTCCCTCTTCCCCATCTTTTCTCCCTCCCTCTGTTCTCCTCTTCCCTTGGTCTCCGCTTCCCTAACCTTTCCCTTTCCTCCTCTCTCCCTCTCATCTCTCTCCCTTCTCATCAATCTCCCCAGCCCCTCACCCCTCCCTCCTCTCCACCCCCTCTCCATACTCCCTGATCCTCTCCCCTCACCCCTCCATTCTCCTCCTCCCTCCCCCCCCTTAACCATTCCCCTCATCCTCTCCCTTTCCCTTCTTCCTTTACCTTCACCCTCACCTCGTTCCCTCCCCCCTCTACCTTCCTTCTCACTCTTTCCCCTCACCCTGTTCTCCCTCCCTTCACTCTGTTCTCGCCTCTTCTACCTTCCTACTCACCCTTTCCCCTCCCTCCCCCGTCCTTACCCCTCCCACCTCCCCCACCCCCCACTCCCCCCTACCTCCTTCGCCGCCGTCTCATCATCTTGTAAGACCCACGCGGGGGACAAACACACCTCTCTCAGCCTCTCGATCTGGTCGCGGAAAATTAAAGGAAAACACGAAACACTGAATTTTAACCCCGGGCTGCCGTCCCTCCCGCCATCTATCTATAAGCGGCCCGGGTTGTTGTTATTTAATATAAGGGATCTAAGACAGGAGTGGATGTGGGGGGAGGAGGGGGGTGGAAGAGAGGAGAGGAGAGGGGAAGGGGAGGGAGGGGAGGAGAAGGGGGTGAAAGTGAGCGGAGGGGGAGGGGTTGTGAAAGAAAAAGAGGAGGGGGAGAGGGGGTGAAAGAGAGAAGAGGGGAGGGGAGGAGAGGGGAGGGGAAGAAAGGAGAGAAGATGAGATATATATGAGGAAGGGAGGAGGGGGAAAAGGTGAGGAAGAGGGGAGAGGGTAAGAGAGAGGGAGAGCACAGGGAGAGAGCAGCAGCAGAGAGAGAGTAAGGGGTAGGGGGAGAGAGGGCAAAGGGCGACTGAGGCCCTGTACCATACACAAACAGACGCAAAGAGGGAGGAAATGTGTATGGGAGGAATGAGAGAAGACACAGACAAATGTTTGCAGGAATGAGAGGGGGGCCGCTGCAAACAGACAGCAGTGTGCTATATCTTGCATGTAATTTAATAAATGTGCATAAATTGAATTGGGTAAAAGTGCATATCAACGCAAAATTGCTCTTCTGAGAAAAGGAAAAAAAAAGATTTATTCCGCATACTTTTCTGTAACTCAAGCGGGTAATTATGCGCTACCCTTTTTTTCTAGAACATGAATGGGTGATTTGAGCTGCCACTATTCAAATATGTTTGATTTTCTAATTATTCTCTAATTAATTATTGTTCTTGTAATTACTCTGTCCTTGAGTCATGATAGAAACCATCTAACCTAACACAGCACAAACACACACGCCCACACCCGCCCACCCGCGCCTGAATTTCATCACTATCCCTCCGGCCGCCCACACAGTCATCACATTACCAACACTGCGCACCGCCCACATACACTCATTTCCCCAGGCTTGTGGGCGGTGTGTTTGTGCGTGCGAGGGAAGAGCAGCTCGTATCAGCTCGGTCACAGTCAGAGTGCTTTTGCTGTCGCTATTTTTCTATAAACATTTTACGCTTTTCTCTTTATTCTTTGTGCATTTTATTCCATTCATTATGTAACTATGCCTTTTTTTTTTAGTTTTTTTTTTGTGTGTTTTAGTTTTCAGTTTTTTAGTTTTTGATTGTGTTTACTTTTCACTTTCTCCCTCTTATCTTTTCTTTCAGGTTTGGTGATGCTCTGAAATCTCTCTCGCCGATGGGAAAGCTGTCAATAATGAAACGTTTTCTGATCCTCCTCCTCCCCCCTCCTTCTCCTCCTCCTCCTCCTTTCAATGTTTTCTCTCCTCTCTCTCTCTCTCTCTCTCTCTCTCTCTCTCTCTCTCTCTCTCTCTCTCTCTCTCTCTCTCTCTCTCTCTCTCTCTCTCTCCCTCCCCTCTATCCCTTCTCGCTTTCATGCATGGTAGGAAGGGTTTGTGGGAGTAGGAGGGGGGAGGGGAGGAGCAAGAGCGGGGAGAGAAGGGGAGGGGGAGGTTGGGGTGTTAATCCCCCCTAAACGAGGAACACTTTTCACCGAATTCCTCCCTCCATCGCGGAAATCCCCCCCCCCCCACCCACCGAAATCTCCCCCCTCCCTCGTTCCAAGGAGACGTTACTGCCCGCTCTATATTGAAAAGTGAACACCATTTACTAAGTGCAAAATACGTTCTGGCCAATATACCAAGGGGGGGGTAAGATAGGAGGTGAGTTGGGGGGGGGGGGGTAAGGAAGGAGGTGAGTTGGGGGGGGAAGGAAGGAGGTGAGTTGGGTGGGGGGGGGGAGGAGTGGAGGGGAGGTGGCTTGGCGAGAGGAGTCGGGGGAGGTGGTTTGGAAGGAAAGGTGGGGGGGGGGGGGGAGGTGGGTTTAGCGGGAAGGGGTGGGGGGTTGGGGTTGTGGGAGGTAGGAGAGGTAGTCTCCGGCCACCCACCGTCATCAACTCGATGGCGAGATGACGGCCCGCGGTGATGTCAATGTTAAGATCACACTTTTCGTCACACTATAAACCAAAGCATCATGGCATATCGGAGAGAAAGGTGGGGAAATAAGTAAAGAAAAAAACAAAACAAAAAACACTCAATATATATACAACCAAAAATCTGTTAATGTTAATAAAGCTGAAAATCTAAAATCTAAGAAAAAAACAACACACACAAATAAGGCATAAAAATAAATGACACAGCAATGAAAACTGGGAAAAAAATAAGACAGTATGTATACAGTGCAATAAAACCACCTACCCTTATTGCAGTGTTTTAGTGTGCAGATTCCCAGGACTTACCTTTCCTTACCACCTCATACCACCAAGTGTGCTTTGTAAAAACCCTTAACCGTTTTTAGGTGCGCCAACACACACAAACAGATAATTATTCACGAAAAAAAAGAAATAAAAAGGTTAAATAAAAATCACTACAGGGACAAAACACAAACTGGGGTCTGTATACGCGCGCGCGTGTGTGTGTGTGTGTGCGTGTGCAAGTGCCCAATAGGGAAGGGGGGGAGGTGCACGGCGCACGATTAGGGTTTGCTCCCTATCTAAGGGTGCCCCGAAAACGTGCCCTTAAACCAGAGTTATGACCCTTAATGTGTCAAGCTCAGCGGTCGGATCTCGGAGTGAAGTCCTCCACATCCGGGACTCTTCCCTGAGGCAGAAAGAGTCCATCAGAAGGTTAGTGTGTTCTGGGCACTTGCTTAGGTAGGCGGGGGGGGAGGGGTTATAAGGGGCCCAATGTCTCCTTTGCGTAACGTTTGTGTGTGTGTGTGTGTGTGTGTGTGTGTGTGTGTGTGTGTGTGTGTGTGTGTGTGTGTGTGTGTGTGTGTGTGTGTGTGTGTGTGTGTGTGTGTGTGTGTGTGTGTGTGTGTGTGCGTGCGTGCGTGCGTGCGTGTGTGTGTGTGTGTGTGTGTGTGCGTGTTTGCATGTCTGTGTATGTGTTTGTGTGTGCAGTCATAAGCGTATGCGTATGTAAGTGCGTGTTTGAGTCATATTTGTGCGTGCATGTGTAAGTGCGTGTGTGCATGTGCACACGAGCGTGAGTATATCCGCAGACAGACCCCAGGCTAAGAAGGGAAGAGGTGCGGCGAGGGCGGAAAACAACAGAACTTACTTGAGTTTCCACCGTTGACTGTGGTAGGCGAACATGGGGTGGAAAAGAGAGATGGATTAGTAACGTTAAAACAACGACGCGAACAGCTGTAGTAGGCCCCTACACAGAGCGAGGGGCCAGCTAGTAACTAGGAGTCTGCGAGAATGCCTAGTGCACAGCTAGTAACTAGGCCCCAGGTCGCAGACCAGGCGGCCGAGTCCTAGAACACGGGCTGGTTAAGACCAGGGGACAGCCTGAGGGCTTGCTTCGTCGCCCAGCTGCCTCTCGGCTGGGAATCACCTCGGTAGAGACTTTGACCATTTAACTCTACAAAGCCTCAATCAAACACGATAATCATAATCGTAATGACGCTAATAGTGGCAATGGCATCAATAGTAACCATAATAAGCATAATGGTCATAATCACAAGTCAGTTAATCATGACCATAATCACAGTAATATTAACAATAATGGTAATCGAAAGAAAACCCTCAGATCCTGTCCAACCTGTTCAAGTCATTTACGAAGACAAATAAGAAAAGTCAGTAATTATAAATTGTTAAGACCTAAGAAGAAAAAAACAACAACACATGAGTTAAAATACAAAACTGAGTGAAGAAGAGCTGAGATGGTTTAATAGAAACTTTCATCATAGTTGATCAAACACAAAATTTTAACAAGTTTGCAGCTCTTTGAAGCTCACATATATATTTTTTCTCTCTCTCACTTTTTTCTTTCTCTTTTTCATTTCTTTTTTTTTTTTAGATGTTAGCACAACTTTCTTTTTTTTTGAAAACACATGACAAACACATCTGTTTTTTTTAGAGGGGGGGGGAGGTATTATTAATCAAACATCAAGAGAAAATCAGTCAGTTCATGCAAATTACACTCTCTACAAGGACACAGTAAGGAAAGAATGCAAAATCAACATTGGCACACAAACAGTCACATCTGCGGAGGTCATGAAAAGGCTGTGGGAAGATGAACAGGCGATAAATATAGGAAGGTATGAAAAGGGAAGAAGAAAAGGCATAAGGGAGATAAAGGAGAAAAAAAAAGATTTTTTTTTTAGAAAGATCGGAGTGAATAAGTTGTCAGCGATGGAATTAGTGATGGGGAGACGAAGGAAAAGATGCAAGAATTTTAGATGAGGAGAAAAGAGGGTGGAATTAGTGGACAAAAGGATGGAAGCTAAACCAAATGGAATCGAAGAAGAAAACATGGAGAAGGGGAAAAAAGGAAGAAGACAAAAAAGAAGAAGAAAATGTAGACGAAAAAAAAAGACGAAGAAGAAGAGGAAAAAGAAAAGGAATAGAAGAGGACGTGAGAGAGTGAGGAAAGTAGACGAGCCACACAGGGGCAAGAGGAAAAGAGCGAAAGAGTAAGGGAAAATATGAAGAGGAAAGAGAACAGAGCAAATGGAAGCGACCCAAGGAATAAATAACAAGAGGAGATAAGAGCAAGAGACAAGAGAAGCAATAAGCGAGGAGAGCGAACGAAAAAGTAAGAGACAAGAGACGAGGAGAGCGAACGAAGAGGCAAGAGACGACGAGAGCGAACGAAGAAGAGGCAAGAGACGACGAGAGCGAACGGAGAAGAGGCAAGAGACGACGAGAGCGAACGAAGAAGAGGCAAGAGACGACGAGAGCGAACGAAGAAGAGGCAAGAGACGACGAGAGCGAACGAAGAAGAGGCAAGAGACGACGAGAGCGAACGAAGAAGAGGCAAGAAGTAAGCGAGGCAAGAGGTGTCACGCTGAGGCCTGGAAGGGGGGCGATCGTGGCACAACAGGGGACTAATGGGCGCTTACTCTCCTGCGGAAAATAGACAGACGGATAGACAGACAGACGGAAAGGCTGAAAGAAAGAGGGAGACTGAAAGGCAGAAAAGAAGAATGATAGATAGACAGACAGAAAGGCAGAAAGGGAGACATATAGACATACAGAGAGAGAGAAAGGCAAAAAGGAAGACAGACAGAAAGGAAGAATGATAGACAAACAGACAGGCAAAAAGGAAGACAGATAGACAGAGAGGCTGATAGACAGCCAGACAGACAGACAGAGAGACTTAAAGGAATACAGAGACAGAATCGCAGATAGGAAGACTGATAGACAGACAGACAGAGAGAAAAGCAGAAAGGGAGACACACAAACAAAACGGCAGAAAGGAAGACAGACCGAGATAGAATACTACACAGCCATTTGGAGGAAGACAGAGAAAGATATCTATATATACATAAAAATATGAAGTAACAAAAAATATTTCAAAAGACAATTCCACGCGAACGGAAAGGATATTGCAGATACACATATATATACAAACACAAACACAAACATAAACACAAATACACAAAAAATACATACACATACACGCAAAAATACTAACAGAAAAAAATACGTGAAGCAACGAAACACACGGTAGAGCCAACACTTGAGAAACACTACACAGATAAAGAGAAGAGGCAGATGAAAACATATGCAACACAAGTGGAAAACTAATATTGCTTTTTACTTCTCTATATGTAGAGGGACACACGGAAGATACAAAAAGACAACACATAAACGAAACAAACAAAATACAAACACATACACACAAACACATTCACGCAGAAATGTGTATGAATAATATATATATATATATATATATATATATATATATATATATATATATATATATATATATATATAATATATATATAAATATACATACATGTACATACATGAGTGTATATATACATATATAAATGTATACATATACGTATACATACATAATAATGTGTATACATATTATATGTACATATAATCGTACCTATATTTAATAAGAATAAGTGATGGATGAATTAATTTTTTGATATGGTAACAAATAAATCAAATAAATACATAAGTATTTCAACAGACGAATCTTACTTTCTATTCATCTATTACTGTTTAAACTGCGAATCGACCATCCATCCCCTGAAATCCGCCCATAAACGCAATAGTCATCCGTTTATAGCCAGTAATCCGTTAATATATTTGAATCTTTCAAACCGCTCGATGCTTATTGGTCGGTTCAAATCTACTTCGGCATCTCACTGGATCGTTTCAAACAGCCAAGCTATTTACATTGATGGATGACCGTTGATAACCGTTACGAAACGAAAACGTCAATAAAAAAAAAAATAAAAAAAAAACATACATACGCAATAAATGCATTTTAAGACATAATTTAGAATGCGATGCTTTTCCATTAACGTCACTATCAATTCTAGAATTATGCTCTCGCTATTAGAATCATTAACATCAAACGTTACTATTTGAAATACCATTAGGGTCATTACTATCAAACTGCCTCACCGCGCAATTATCGCTCGCTCAGACATCTGCATGCAATTTCGATAAAAAAGGGGAAAAAAACTGAAAAATACCATTTAAACACTCATGTTACCTGACGGGTATCGCCAAAAATAACAACAAAAATTCGACCAAGTAAAGTCGCGACGAGCTATTACATCGAAATATTCCCGGCGACCTTGTGACAGCTTTTCAAAAAAAAAAGTATCTAATTACAATCAAAAGACATTTTCGACGCGACATTAATAATTCCTGCAAGTGACACACGACACCGAATGATCCTCGGGACAAACACCCTTTGGCATTTGACACACAACGCGCTGCCTTAGACCTAATGCAATCTAATCTGCCAAATCACGAAATGCGATAAAAAGACAAGGAAAAGAAAGGCCCTGAAGGGTAGGAAGGAGGAAGAGAAACGGAGGCGGAGAGGAGAATATGTAAAAAAGATAAAGGAAAAAAAAAAGCCACGCGACGAGAGATCTGTGCGAAAAATATTGGTCTTAATATAAAGGGAGTGTGTAAATGAATAAGTGGGACAGAGAGGGAGAGTAAAAAGAGAGAGGGAGAGAGGGAGGAAAGGAGGAGGAGGAGGAGGAGGAGGAGGAGGAGGAGGAGGAGGAGGAGGAGGAGGAGGAGGAGGAGGAGGAGGAGGAGAAGGAGGAGAAGGAGGAGAGGAGGAGGAGAGGGAGGAGCAGGAGGAGAGGAAGGAGGAAAAGGAGAGGATGGGGAGAGGGAGGCGAAGAACAAGAACAAGAAAATGAGGTAAAACAAGAAAAAAAAGAATAGGGCGAGGAAAAAGAAAAAGGCCAGGGGAGAACCAAAGAGCGAAAAGAGGGGAGGGGGCGTGGGGGCGTAGGAACACTTAAGAGGCCACAGGAGGCCGGAGGACGGAGGGCGTGAGAAACGAAAAGGTGGAGACCGCGTGAGGGAAAAGCCGCGCAGATCCCTTATCGCTGATGGGTTATTGATGGCGGCCTCAAGGGATTAAAAGAAAAAAAAAGAAAAAGGAAAAAAAGGTCGAAGAAAATAGGAGTTATCTCGGACGAACTTTCTTCCCAAACGTCCCGAAGCGCCTCCCGACGCTCTGGCCTCCTCGATCCTCCTCTCGGATCTTCTGTCCTCGATCCTCCTCTCGGATCTCGTGTCCTCGATCCTTCTCCTTCTCCTTCTCCTCCTCCTCTTCCTCCTCGCCTCCGGATTCCACTTCTGAGGAGGTATGGAGGGGGGAGGAAGGCGAAAGGGAGGGAGGAAAAGCGACATGAAGAGGAGGGGGACGGGGAGGGGGAGGGGAACGAGGAGAAGGAGACGAAGAAGAATAAGAAGGCGAAGGAGGTGGAGAGAGAGAGAATGTGAGAGGGGAGGGGGGGAGGGAGAAGGGAGAAGGGAGAAGGGAGAAGGGAGAGAGAGAGGAGAGAGAAAGGAGAGAGAAAGGAGAGAGAGAGGAGAGAGAGAGGAGAGAGAAAGGAGAGAGAGAGGAGAGACAGAGCAAGACGAAAGATACGAGAGAGAGAGAGAGAGCAGGAGAAGAGAGAAACACAGAGGACACAACGACAAGCAGATAACGAGCAACGTATCTGTGTGCTCAATGACCTACATAATTAACAAATTGCGAATTTCGCGAGCTCGCCGGACTGTGAATGCCGCAGTTCAATATATGCATATTTCTGTACTTCGCCAAAGCTCGACGTGCTGCTCCGCATCAAACGTACGGATTATTTGCTCGTACTCAAAACAACAATGCAATTTCGCGTAGGCGGTAAACCACTTTTTTCGCGACCCGCCTCAGCTCACCGACGCCGGAAACGCACTTAGTATCGAGTACATGTCATGGAACCGCCCATCTGACGGCCAGACCCCCCCCCCCCTCCTCCTGCTGGTGCATGGGAGGGGAAAGAGGGAGGGAGGGAGGGAGGGAGGGAGGGAGGGAGGGAGGGAGGGAGGGAGGGAGGGAGGGAGGGAGGGAGGGAGGGAGGGAGGGAGGGAGGGAGGGAGGAGGGAAGCAAGGAATGAAGGAAGGAGGGAAGGAGGGAGGGAGGAGAAGGAAAGATGGAGGGGGAAGTAGAGGAAAGGAAGGAAAGGAGAGGGAGGAGGCGAGGAGAGAGAGATAGAGGAGAAGGAAGGGGGTGGAAGGGAAAGGAGGGGGGAAGTGGGAAGAGGGAAGGGGGAAAGAAGGAAGGAGTAGGAATGGAAACTAGGAGGAAGGAGGGACGGGGGGATAAAGGAGGGAGGGACTTGGGAAGAAGAAACTCCACACACGCACACATACACGCACAAACAAGCAGATATACACGCACACAAACACAAACACACGCATACACACTAACAGTGAATATAAACACGAACTTGTAACCACAAATACACTCATCAGTTCACTGTAACTTGATGATGAAAGCAAAGTCTCGTACACATGTACACAGAACACCGCCATTAATGTACACACGCCTCGAGTCATTGGATGAGGGGAAAAGAGGGGGAGGAAGAGGAGAAAGAGAGACAGAAATTGGAAGTAGTGGAGGGAGAGAAGGGGGGAGGGGGGATGAGTGGAAGAACGAGACGGAATAAGGAAGAGGAGGAAAAGATGAAAGGGGAGAAGGAAAGAGAAAAGAGCCGTGAGAAGGAGGGAGAGGGAAAAGGAGGAGGGAGACGAAAGGACGAAGAGGAAAGAGAAAGAAAATGAGAAGAAATGGGTATAGAGAAGTCTGGAGAGAACGAACAAAAGGAGAGGAAAAGGAGGATAAAATGGAATGAGTACCAATAATAATAATAATAATAATAATAATAATAATAATAATAATAATAATAATAATAATAATAATAATAATCCCAATGACAAAGTGTTTCATCATCGACATTATTATCATTACTTTTATTATCATCACACCCATTATCACTATTACCATAAATATCCCCAAGGTGATAAATAAGCAAGAAATAAAGAGAAACAAAGTGTGGAAAAAAGAGGAGAAGAGAAGGGATAAGCGATGAAAATGAAGAAGACGAAGAAGACGAAGAAAATGAAGAAGATGAAGAAGATGATGAAGACAGAAAAAAAAGAAGACGAAGAAGACGAAGAAAATGAAGAAGAAGAAGACGAAGAAAATGAAGAAGACGAAGAAAATGAAGAAGACGAAGACGAAGGAGACAAGATATCGAGGGCGGAGGGCGGGCGGGTCATCGGCCAACTAATCAGCAACACAAACTTGGTCCGCGGGCGCCAAAAAATACGAGGCCAAACAAAAAAGTGCGCCGGCTCGGGGATGGGCGGGGAAGGGTGGACGAGCGGTTGGATGGGGATAGGTGGGGATGGGGATGGATGGGCGGGCTAGTGAGGGAGGGGCGGGGGGGGGGGGGAGGCTCCGAATGAAACGAACGCTGCTTTAAAAGGGAAGGGAGGTGGAGGGAAACGGGAAGGGGTAAGAGGAGGAGGGACGGAGGAAGGAGGGAAGAGGAGAATGAGGGAGGATAAGGAGAGAGTGAAGAAATGAGGAGGAGGAGGAGGAGGAGGAGGAGGAGGAGGAGGAGGAGGAGGAGGAGGAGGAGGAGGAGGAGGAGGAGGAGGAGGAGGGAGGGACAAGTAGAGGGAAGGATAAAGGAGGGTAATGAGGGAGGGAGGGAGGGAGGGAAGGAGGGAAGAAGAGAGTGGGAGAGGGAGAGGGAGAGGGAGAGGGAGAGGGAGAGGGAGAGGGAGGGAGAGAGAGAGAGAGAGAGAGAGAGAGAGAGAGAGAGAGAGAGAGAGAGAGAGAGAGAGAGAGAGAGAGAGAGAGAGAGAGAGAGAGAGGGAGGGAGGGAAGGAGGGAGAGAAAGAGAAAGAGAAAGAGAAAGAGAAAGAGAACGAGAAAGAGAAAGAGAGAGTATTAGAGAAGACGAGTGAGTGAAAGACTGAACGACAGTCAGACAGACATAGAAACAAACAAAGAAGGAGCGAGATATCAACTCCAAAGAAGAGGCAAAGCCACTGCTTGTGTCTCTAGCGCCTTCCGCCCACTTCCTTAGAGCTTACATCTTAAACCCTTTAATGAACCTCCGGATTGCACAATCATTCACCCGTAGAGCACGCAACACACAGGAGGAAAAGACGTACAAACACACAAATCTACATACAATAAAAAGGAAGCCTCACAAGCAAAGGATTAATAAATTGCACAAACAAATAACAATAATAAAGTTAAATAAAACATGCCTAAGTTAGATGCTCAAATTACTCTACAAACATTGAATCATTATGTACAAAGAAACATAATGAATGCGCACAGACGAACGCAAGGCAAGGCAAGGAAATGAAAGGAGGCTATGAAGCTGGACGAAGCCAAGGCCAAGGAAGCCGAGGCCAAAGCCAAGAAAGCGAACGCGGGGTCTCACCTGTTTCTCCCGTGCTCACCGTCACGGGCTTCGACGGCGGGCCGCGTCCGATCTTGTTCACGGCGAGGACTTGGAACTCGTACACGGTGAACGGGGTCAGTCCTAGGGAAAAGGAGAGAAAAGGTGAGATGAGAATGCACTTTTATATACGTCCGCGTGTGTTGTGTGTCTTTCATTACGTCCCGAAGCATTTTACTATCCAATTGCAGTGCTGTTCCAGGAAGCTTATCTCTTATTAAACAACGTGTCTATCCATTTCTAATTGTTCCTGTGTTTCTCATTCACTCTGGCAATCAATATCTAATATTCTTTTATATCTAACACATTTGATTACAAGTTCATCCTGCCTTAACAAGAATTACCAATCTCTTTCATATCAATGAATAATAAACTACAACGCATTTTACAATATCCTCCACAAAATGATAACAATAATAGCTTTAAATGCATTTCCATCCCCTTTGTGGAATGCAATCATGTCGATTAAATAAACTGATGCTAACGATCATGTTGATATTAACCATGTTCACCTGAAGTTGCAAATCAAGGCAACAAACCAAAACAAACACATCGCTTCGAGAACGCACTTAGCAAACAATTGTCGCAAGACGTTACTCAGAAACTGCATCATAATAATAATTATAATAATAATGATAACAAAATAATAACAATATTGGTAATAACTATAACAATTACAATAACAACAATAACAACGATAAGAATAATGATAATAATAATGATAATAATAATGATAATAATGATGATAATAATAATTATAATAATAATAATAATAATAATAATAATAATAATAATAATAACGATAATAAAAATAATAATAATAACGATAATAATAATAATAATAATAACAATAATAATAACAATAATAATAACTAAAATAATAATGACAATAACAATCCCTAATAATAATGATAATAACACCGTATTAGCCTCGATGATGGACTGCACCGACCGACCGACCGACCGACCGACCGACCGACCGACCGACCGACCGACCGACCGACCGACCGACCGACCGACCGTCCGACCGACCGACCGTCCGACCGACCGACCATCCGACCGACCGTCCGACCGACCGACCGTCCGACCGACCGTCCGACCGACCGACCGACCGACCGACCGACCGTCCGACAAACCGACCGACCGACCGACCGTCCGACCGACCGACCGACCGTCCGACCGACCGTCCAACCGACCATATATAAAGTAAAACACCTAATAACACTTAGTAATAATTATCTGCCCCCTCCCTCTAAACACACGTATCTAATTCCTTGAGGATAATTAGTCTGAAACTCTCGGTTATCAACAAACTCCATTAGGGTCATTCCTTCTTACGGTGTGTTCTTGCAAAGTTGCACTATCAATTAATGTTGCATCCCCAGAAATTAGTCTACCGCCTCGTCTCCCAGGGAAGCAAGCCCGGCGGAGATTATTATCTTGTTAGACGAGACGCCAAGGGAGGGGGAGAGGAGGGGGGAGAGAAGGGAGGGGGAGAGGAGGGGGGAGAGGGGGAGAGGGGGAGGGGGAGAGGAGGGAGGGGAAAAGGGGAAGGGGGAAGGGTGAGGCAGATGGTGGGAAAAAGGGAGAGGGAGAGAGAAAAGGAAGGAAAAGAGGGTGGGGAAGAGGGAGGGGAGGATAGTGGGAAGAGGGGGGTGAAAAGAGGAAGAGAGTAAGGAAAGGAGGGATGGAGGCAGGGAGGGAGAGAAGGAGAAGGAGGAGGAGGAAGAGGAGGAAGAGGAGAAGAAGGAGTGAGAGAGAGAGAGAGAGAGAGAGAGAGAGAGAGAGAGAGAGAGAGAGAGAGAGAGAGAGAGAAGAGGTAAAGGTAAAGGTAAAGGTAAAGATAGAGATAGAGATAAAGATAGAGACCGAACCAAAAACAGAGAGAGAATCTAGGGTGAAAACGTGTGCGAGAGCGCGATAGCACCCATCCTACCGCTCCGGTCATTTCAAAATTAGATCGCTGCATTTGCCCCCCCCCCTTTAAAAAAAAACCCAGCGCCCTCATCCTGTTATACCGTAACGACAATAAGCACCCCTATATGGCAAATGCTACAGGTAGGGGGGGGGGGAGGGCTTACACGAGCAGGGGGGGAAAACGTTGAATATTTTGTTTTCACTTGACAGAACCATTTTCAGGCTGCACTTTGTCTGTTTAATTCACTTCAATTGCGTTTCCAATAGGCGATTACATTCGGTAACTGTGGGTGGGAAGCGGATGAGAGGGAGCGAAGACAGGGGGGAGAGGGAGAGGACAAGAGGGAGGGAGGGAAGGGGAGAGAGAGGGAGAAAAGGAAGGAGGACAGGGGGGGAGGGAGAAGAAGAGGAAGGGAGAAATTAATGAGTGAATGAGTGAGTGAGTGAGTAAGCGAGAGAGAGTGAGTGAGTGAGTGAGTGAGTGAGTGAGTGAGTGAGTGAGTGAGTGAGTGAGCGAGTGAGTGAGCGACCGACCGGGATATAGAGTAAGTAAGAATAGCACGCTATTATTGACTGAACTGCCGTAGCAACAACAACAACAAACAACAACAAAAACAACAACATCAAACTCCGACTTACATTGGTCTTTTCTCCCTCGCCCTTAAAATTCGAAAATGGCAAACGTCGACGAATTAAAATCACCGCCCCTTCCCAATAACAAAAAGAAAAAAGAAAGTTTCCTCCATAATTCACCGATAATCCCGTCTTAACCTCAACATTATCTCCTTATCCTTTGTTTATGTTGCTACAAGTATAAAACAAAAACACAAAAAGATTACAAGATTTACAGGGAGGAGGAGGTGGTGGAAGAAGAGGAAGAGGAGGAAGAGGAGGAAAAGGAGGGGGGAAGAAGGAGGGGGAGGGCGGGGGGAGGAGGAGGTGGTGGAAGAAGAGGAAGAGGAGGAAGAGGAGGAGGAAAAGGAGGGGGGAAGAAGGAGGGGGAGGGCGGGGGGAGGAGGAGGTGGTGGAAGAAGAGGAGGAGGAGGAGGAGGAGGAGGAGGAGGAGGAGGAGGAGGAGGAGGAGGAGGAGGAGGAGGAGGAGGAAGAGGAGGAGGAGGAGAAAGAAAAGGAGGGGGGGAAGGAGGGGTAGGCGGGAAGGAGGGGGAGGGCAGGGGGAGGGCAGGGGGAGGGGGAGGAGGAGGAGGAGGAGGAGGAGGAGGAGAAGGAGGAGGGGGGAGAAGAAGGAGGGGGAGGGCGGAGAGGAGGAGGAGGTAAAAGAGGAGGGAGGAGGAGGGAGGAGGTTGAAGAAGGTGGGAGGAGAAGGAGGAGAAGGAGGAGGAGGAGGAGGAGGAGGAGGAGGAGGAGGAGGAGGAGGAGGAGGAGGAGGAGGAGGAGGAGGAGGAGGAGGAGGAGGAGGAGGAGGAGAAGGAGGAGGGAGAGAAGAAGAAAAAGAAGAAGAAGAAGAAGACAAAGCAGAGGAGGAAGAGAAAGAAAAGGAAGGAGAGCGCGAGGGCTGGTGCGCTGGCGCCGTCGAGGCTGAGCTCCGCCGGCAGCGCCTCGGGCCGTCCACGGGAGAATTCCTTAAGAGGATTTGTCACTTAATTCTCGACATTTTCATTTCCTTCTCTTCTCCTTGTGCTCATCAGCTTTTCTTTTGTGTTTCTTTGTCTTCTTTAATGTTTTATCGCCTTTTTTTTTCTTTTCTTTTCTTTATCGTTTCTTTGTCTTGGTTTGGAGGTCTGATGATCTTGTTCTTTCTGGTTTTTGTATTTGTTCTTAATCAGATTTGAGTTATTCTTAGTTTTTGTTTCTTTAGCGTTAAATATAGTGTTTGTAAGTGTATGTACGTGCGTGTGTGTGTATGTGTAAGTGCGTGTGTGTGTATGTGTAAGTGCCTGTATGTGTGTGTACGTATGTGTAAGTGTGTGTACGTATGCGTAAGTGTATGTACGTGCGTGTGTGTGTATGTGTAAGTGCCTGTATATGTGTGTACGTATGCGTAAGTGCATGTACGTGCGTGTATGCACGTATATTTAAGTATCTGTACGTGCGTGTGTTTATGAATGTGTAAGTGTCTGTGCGTGTGTATGTGTATGGATATGTAAGTTCCTGTACGTGCGTGTGCGTGTGCTTGTGTGAGTAAATACGTGTTCGTTTGATGCTCTGATTAATCAAGCCATCTTTTCTGTTCTCTTTTACTTTTTTGTCCGTTCTTTCTTTTTTAATAATACCCTTTGAAGATTTTTTTTATTTGTTTTTGTTCTCGTTCATCCCATCCTGGAGCGTCAAGTCTATTCTACATCAGCATCATTAGCATGTTAAGGTTACGGTCGGGCATGAAGTTTATACAAGCGGGTTTCAATGGCTTGTTTATCACTACAAATGTTAACCACGGCTTCAATATAGCATCTATGTTTCCGATCTACTCGTAGAGCTTAAAATATAATACCTCTGAGCTTTTCGGTTTACTGTTTTTCACATTCATGAATGTGGGAAAAAAAAATTCACACGGACTTTTATGTGTGTGTGTGTGTGTGTGTGTGTGTGTGTGTGTGTGTGTGTGTGTGTGTGTGTGTGTGTGTGTGTGTGTGTGTGACGAAGGGAGAGGGAGGAGGAA